GAAGTTCAAGAGAATGAGGCTGGCACCTCCCTGAGGAATTTACGGTGTTGTGGCTGGCTGGCTTTGGGGGTAGGGGTCAGTCTGGGGGGATTCTTTTTTGAGGTTGTTGCTAATAAACACAGCAGAACTGAATTTGCATTGTCTCTTGGAGTTCTTTGGGCTAAACCTGACAGATGCAGAGTTATAACCCTGTTTATGAGTACATCTGCTTCAGAAACCAATACTGCTTGGGACAATACTGTCACAGATCAGACAAAAGGATCCAGAATTGGTTATATGTAGGCCAGATTCACACACCATAGTATGTTAAGCCAGAAGTGCATAACTTCAGTGGGCGCAAATGCCATACTAGTTTATGAACAGCGTATTAAGAGGCCATGCTACAAAAGAGGCAGCACTAAAAGATTTTTAAAATAGTCGGGATAACAAACACAGTAACCTTGTTACTTTTGATAGAATTTAATTTTTAACTTAATTTTAAGATACATGGTTGTCGCCATTCCCTCAAATAATAAACGAACACAACTCTCATACGTATTTTTTCTCTCTCATACACACACAGACACACCCACACAGACACAGGACTGATATTCACAGATTCAAAAGAGGCAACATGATGAAGCTTACAGACACAGGAGCAAGGTGGGACTTGTTACTGGGGGACAACAAAATCGATGTAAGGAGTTGCACTTGACCTTGTGGTGAACCACACACACTCTCCAAACCATTGTGCAAATCTAGGCACTAAATCATAACTTCATTAGTCATCCTTTACTGAATAAACCGTTATCGGCACAGTTCACATGCAACACCAAACTTTACAACAATGTTGTAAAACTATAATGTTTGAATTCATGTAACATGCTAAATTGAAATAAAACAAATCACATTATAGTTCAGTGTGACCCATCTTAAAGTTCATGCACTGAAATCAGTAGGATGGAAAAGAGTTGAAGACATTAAGGCTGACACAGGGGTATCAACTTCAAGAGTTCTGTATTAAAGTGTGGATCCAACCTAGTGACTACAGGATATAATAGGTAGAGAAGAGCATCTGACAGGTAAACTGTTCCAAACATACATGCATCCCGTATTTTCATCTCTAAAATGTAGGAAACATGATATACATGGCCACAAAGAAGAACCGTAATTTACTGAGCGTAACTCCTGCATATAAATGGTTCCAACTTCAGTCACTCGCATCTTCAGTTAAACGGACTGGGGAAGATCTTGGAGCGTCATTGCCAGGGCAGATACTAGCAGGTGATCTAATGAAGCGGCGATTCAATCAGTAGCAAAGTATCAGTTAGCACATTCTCCCTCCCCTTCTTAATAACTGGTTAATTCTTTAATGTTATCAATCACTTACTGGGACCCACACTTCACATATCAGCTGATGGTGTCCAACCTGAAACTTACTGGAGAAATGGATCAATGTTGTGTTGGATAGCTCCAAGAAACTGTCCAGCCGGTATTCAGGCAACTGCAAAAAAATAAAAATAAAAAGGAAATTACATGTTAGAGATCATTAGAAAAGGGATTAAAAAAAATAAAACTGTTAATACTGCAATACCTTTATGCAAATATATGGTATGACCACATGAAATATTACATATGGCTTTGCTGCAATTCAAGCATATTGTAGAGCTAGAAAGGTTTAACCAGTATTATCAGGAATTGAAGAAACTCCTACAAAGAAATATATTTTGATTTCAGAAAACACATTAATAAGGGAAGACACAATACAGTAGAGATGTGGAAAACAGTACACAATGTGGAAAAAGCAGAGACTTTTCTCCATCCTCTGTAATATTAATCAGTGGGACCATCAAATGATACTGACTGCTAGAAGAGTTAAGGTAACTAGCACAAAGCTAAACAGCAGAATGACCATAATCACCAATTTAAACTTTTTTGAAAGTTTACTAGACAAGTTCATCTAAAACTATCAATGAGAACTAATCATCATGCCATTACACTAGCATGGCATTGTGGTTGGAAATTGGATCAAGAGACTCAGATTCAAGTCTCTGCACGTGGAAACACACTAGGAATGTTGTTCTTATGGGGAAAAAATAGGAGAAGGGGGAGTGTTATGAGCTTTGCCCTGAGTTCCTGGAGGAAACCTGAGATACCAATGTATGATTAAAATTTCAGTATGTTTTAAATCACCAGCTCCAAAAAAACATGAGCAAAAAAGTGGTGCTGAATTGTTATTTTGGTTGTTGTCTTCAGAGAGAGAGCTGACCACAGACTGGTTAAACCTTCAATGGCAGTTTCACAAAGCTTTCAGCAAAAATGGGAAATGAGCTCTACTAAATCTCCAGCATGTCACATTAACTGACATAAAGCTTCTTTTAAATTCATCCACCATTTGAAAGGCCTAGTACCTACCACCATCCTCAGAGAACTAAGCAATATCATGCCTTCCCAGCGTTCTGGAATACAATTCCCACCAACCTAGGCCAGCACAGTTGATGGTGATAGATTCTGGAAGCTATAGTCCAAAATACCTAAAGGGCATCAAATCTCTTGCATGAGCGGGCAACCTTTGGTGGGCAGCAGATGGGTTTGGGGCTACACACCTAGGCCCATGTCCCTCTTTTCCTTTGGATATGCTGTCATAGCTGGAAGCAGCTTTCACATGCTGACCACACCACCAGTTCACCCATGAATGGCCAGGGGTATACTCCACTGCACTGAGGAAACATCTTCCCTAGCATAAGACTGCTCTCAAGCAGCCTGCCCATCAGGTGGCTAACCAATAAGCCCAGGAGCAGGAAGTCACGGTTGCCCACTCATACATGAAAGCAACAAACCTATGTTATACATATGTTACACACAGACTCAGAGGTAAATTCCACTGAATTCAATGGCAATTATTCCTACAGTGAATATAGGACCACAGTCCAGTCAGCAAGCATCAAAAGCTAGGACTTAATATTATCACTTGTGGCCTCCTCTTCCTTCTTTCTTTGTTTCTGTTTCACGCCTTCTTTACTTTCCTTCTCCAATGCAGGACAAGAAGCAAGAAAGATACAGAATTCTTCAGGAGGAGTCTGGTAGCACCTTTTCTGACTCATAAACGTTGCTGAAAGGCATCAGCTTTAGTGAGCTGCAACTCACTTCATCAGAGGCATAGAGTGGCTAAACTCATCTAGGATTCAGAATGGAATGAGGCAGAAAGAGAGAGAAAGGTAGTTTGGCTGTGCAAATGCAGGTTACATGTGAGACAGATTACAAATGAAGTCCCTCATCAAGAACTGTAATGTGTAAAAACTCACAGTATTTGCTGAGGCCTTCTGAAATTGCCTGAAACCTTATGATGTGAGCTCAGCAACCTCTCACTCAACAGTGGAGTTAAAAAGTCTAGTTTTTCCAAAACAGTAACTCTGAGGTCTGCTAAACAGTCTCCTGGAAGGTTGAAATGCTAGGAAGAAATAAAGAATGCTTCCCTACAATCCCCATATATAACCTAAAGCCAGCTTCTTCGGAAACTTTATTACAAAGGAACTACTATTGCAACTATTTATCTATTTTTCCCCCCTCAAGAAAAATAGGGAAACTGGTATGCTTACTGACATATGTTTTGCAACCTGGGAATTATTTTGCAAGGTTAGTCTGTTCGTTTTCATCTGAAGTTATGGTATCCCACGTGCTCTCTGAAACTGAAAACTAAGCTTAAAGCAAATGCGTCCGGCCTTTGTCTTGCACTCTAGCCCAGCTATGCAAATCAAGGGGAATTCTGAGCTTAGAATTTCCATACAGAAAGGAATGGCCTGTCCCACCCTTTTTACTTCAAGGGGTGGAGGGGAAAGACAGCACTACTGGAAATCCTCAAAAGACTAACACATATCAACAAAAAAACTTAAATTTTCAGCACTGAAATCCAATATTAAAAAGTAAATAGTAACCACAAGTGCTTTATTAACAATAAAAAATCAAAACCGATTTGAAGACATGTAAGTACAAACCAGTTCAAAGCATAAATCAACTCTTATTTTCTTAAAGCAATTTGAGAAATTTGGGGTTCCTTTGTTTTTCCCAAGGATAAAGGCCTGTATTTGCTGCACATTAACATAAACACCTAGCTGTGGAAGTCACTGCCAGGAATTCCTTGATTCAAGGAAATGGGTTTCTGAGCTCAGATCTTCAGCAGCAGAAAACAGAGGAACAACTCTAGGACAAAAAAAAATGGGACAAACGAATGGGGGGGGGGAGTTGAAAATAAGGTGAGGAAAAATGCTTCTCATTCCCAGACAGTTCTAGAACATGTGCTCATGAAACAACCTGAATTGCCACGGGTCTGGAAACAGCATGAACTATGACTGAGCCCAAGAAAAATCACTTAAATATGACCTAAAACTGAAGGTACAGAGTGTTGTATTTTGTAAATAGAAAAGCATAATTCTCCTGCTAATCACTGAAAACAATCTCTTAGTTTTGAAAAACAGAGGAGAATCTGCTGAAAATATTTGGAAAGTTGCTAATGTCTGTTTTTGAACTTATAAAACAAAGCTTGCTCACTCGACACGTTACCAAACCAAGCTTAGATTGTCCATTATTGCATTAGCAGCCCAACTACAACTCTACCTTTTTTATTCAAGACAGAACATTAGAATTTTGACTTCTGCATTCTGCATAGCAATCTTCATTTTCCAAAATTCTGAAACCTCCAGAATTCTCAGATGACACGGCCAAAAGCTGCTGTATGTGCCTTAATTCTTGTGATTTAACCCATCCTTCTATGAGGTCCGGAAAACACAGTGCGTTCTGGAAAGATTTGTATCGGTTGCATGACTCCTGGGGGTGGGGACGGTGTACCTTTGTAATGGAATGCACCCATTTCCTTGTGAAGCAGGCTTGTTTTTGGCCTCACAGGCTAGCTTGATGCAGGCCTTGACTCACCTGGAGATCATGAACAATGAGGCCTTACATCTCTATGATGGGGCTGCTGGAAGGAACCTAGGAGACTGGGAGTAGCATTCAATATCTCAAACATTCTAACTGGGTTTTAGGATTACGGTAGGAGGGGAGGATCGTTTCCTGACTCTGGTGGGAGACCAGTTCAGCTTAGATGCAAAGGTTCGCTCTGTAATAGCATCTACCATATGATGCAAAACGCTTGGTAGAGAGCACCCCTATTTGGGATAACTGCCCGGCAGAGGTTATGGCTATCAGGAACACCACTTTCCATGTCAGATGCTTTAAGGCTAACTCATGCAATGTTTTGAATGGGGGGTTGTGTTAGGGCGTTATCCCATGAGGGATACTGGTGGATACTGCACCCCCTGAGGAACTTCTTGATATAAGGATGGCCACAGAGAATGATTATTGCTTCACAATGAGAGATGAAGAGAGGGCTCAAAGTTGTGTGCTTGGTCCCTTGTTTAGGCCCATTGGTAAGAAGGCCTGAAGTTGGAAGTTGAAGGTTGCCATTGGTAAAGTTCCTTCTTCGCAGAAGACTTACCATGTTTACCAGTCCAGGTCTTTCAGGCTGAGTCAGGCCACTGCTATTTTGTTGACCATCGAGGCACACTCTGCCGGGAAGGCAATGGCTTTGGCTTATTGTTGCTCCCCTGCCTGAGTTTCCTACACTCTGGGAGGATGGGCCAAGCTAGCAGTTAGCCCAAAGGAGAGAAATCTTGGCAAAGACAGAAGAACAAGAGTTGACTTTGAGGCTGGGGATGTAACCTTGTGTGCATTGTGCTGCAGCATCTCCATTTTTCTCTTGTCTTCTTGTTTTTAGGGGTTGTCTTTACTAACTATGTGCTGCCACTGAAGTATCTAGTACGGAGGAGTTCGGCAAATCGAGGGCAGCCTGAGAGCCACTGGGAATATCTCTGAACTCTGCAGGGCCATTAAGAGTTCCTTGGGGATGGGGCATTCTAGTTCCTTGAGACTAGGTTTGCAGACTTTCTTGAAAAGTAGAGGAAGTCTGATGTTTGAAAGAGACTGATAGATTCAGGAACTGGCTGTTGGTTTTCTTCCTCATCAGGGACTGTTCCCCTCATTCCTATCTCACTGATCCTGAAGGGAAATCAGGCTGAAGATAGAAGGTGTCCTCAGTAAAACCAGTGGGCACATATGTTGTCCAGAGCAAGGCAAAAGTAGAACCAGAACTGGTGGTGATGCTTTCCCCTCCCACAGGAAACACCAACAAAATCTTCTAGTCCTGCCTCTGAAATGAGTGTGAAACATACAAGACAATGCCCTGGTTTCACTGTAGAAATACTTAAGAAAATGTTCATGAAGAAGGCTATCAAATATACCTCTTCATTCACTCATTAATACAATTTGACTGGCTGAGGTGAACGCTCAGCCACCTTTGGGATCTTTCAATTCATATGTCATCAAAATCTACCTACTTAAGGACAAGCAACTAGAAAAAGGAAGAGAATATCCCAGAGCCACCCAACAGATCTCAAGAAGGTATAATAAAATTAAAAGATTAGAGAGAAGACTTTTTATTTCCATCATTTCCATCATTATTTCCATCATTCCATCCTACCATCTCTAAATGCTTCCTTGCCTAGAGTCATGAAGTTCCTAAACAGGAGTTACAAGGGTGGGGAGAGAATCAACTAACAGCAATTATTATAACTTGTCCACAACCTACAGATTTGAAATCCTAGTTTTTGTAAAGCAACAGTGAAGTATGCCAGATATTCAAGAACTATCTAAAATAGATGGAACACTGTCCCAAATCCAAAGAAAACCAATCATGCTAAAATTTCATTGAAGTTAATGGGACATAATTTAGCAGATGCTCACTATTCCTAATGAGGTTAATAAAACTAAAACATAACTATTTGGGCCTGAGGTTCTAAATTACAGAGAGGCAGCATTAAGAGTTGTTTCCCAATGGGTCCCACAAAGACTAATCACCCTTGCTTCTTGAAAGTCTTTTCGTTAAATAACTGGACAAGTACCCACTTGAGGGTGCTCTGATACTAAGTGTCCCAATTCGTTGCCATTCATTTTTGAAGGATATTCCTGTGTCTTCTTTCAAAGAAGTTCCTCTATTTCTGACTTGCTGAAAAACGGACTTAACATAAAATAAATTCAAATGCTATTTGAAAATGGAGAAACAAGTCTTTGAAGCACAGGACAAGATTGGTTTGAGAAAAATGTGCTCTGGACCTTATACATGGACAAAAGGATTGTACGCAGTAAAAAATGTTTCAGAATTTTTTTCAGAACTCACAAGCATAGCACTGCTTTTCTATTTGTTGAAGCAGCCACATCTTTTCTAAGATCTTTAAAAAAAGATGTGTCTGTTTTAAAGAACAGCAGATAGGAGCTGCACTTGTGTAGTTCCAAACCACTTCCAAATCTCTACTAGGAGAGGGAAAAATAACTGACTACCAATGAAGCTTTTCAACAACATATTTACATATATTGGGGGGTAGGGGGGCTTGGAGGGGTTACACAGACAAACTTTTCACTGGAAGACCATATCCAATTAGACCTGGTTAGTGCTCCAATTCTTGGATTCTTCCTGTGAACTAAAACTAACACATTCTTAGATGGACTATGACAACATTTTCATATACAAACTATAACATCACTGCACATACACATAGATTGGGGTGTACAATAGTTTCTCCCAGCTCCAGCAAAAGCATCTAGTGTATGCAATTAGACTGGAACTTTTCTTCTACATTTAGTGCAGAAGGACTGCAAAAAGTCTGTCCCAGTTATTGTCCTTTTTTATTGTTACTGGATTCCCTGCCCCCCCATTTAAAAAAAACCAAAAACCTATTTGTGCAAGTCTACCCATTCAGTATCCTCTGAAAGTCTATTTTGAACAGGAAGATAGATAGATAGATAGATAGATAGATAGATAGATAGATAGATAGATAGATAGATAGATAGATAAAACTCCCCTAATATTTGTGACCCTATATTATTAGCAGTGCTTCTAACCTTTACTTGAACATTCAAGGCAGCTAATTACAAATAAAATGTGAAATACAAAAGGAAATAAATCAAAAACTTAAGTTAAAACCAGCACAAACTTCAGAAAACAATCAGCATTGTATGCATCTGGGATACATATAAAAATATTAAAATCAACACTCACAATTCTAAGCTCTGCAAATATAGAAAACATACAATAGCAAATAAAATAGAAACTAGACTAAAAGCAATAAAAAAGAACTTGTGTAGATTACTTTGCAATTTAATGTTACTGTGAAATATCACAGTGATGAAAACCTTGAATCTACTGAATATGCATGATCATATTACCTCTCCAACAGTTTCTTAAATAAGCAATCATAGTCAAAGTTATAAGTTTTTATTGGTGAACTCTGCAGTGCCCTTATTTGTTATAAGGATAAAGGGTTGCACAACAAGCAATTCCTTAAAACTTAACAAAATGAAAAGATTGTTTCTTTAATGCAAAGCAACCTTAACAAGAGGCACTTAATTCTGTTACTGGCCAGTTCTTTTTCCATGAATATCTTTTCTGATAGTTTTTTTTCCTCTATAAATAAACAACAATCCAGTGTACTAACTGGAATAAAAGCAATTGGCAGGATCAGAGGAGCACATCTTTGAAAGATGAAGGGTTAAATATTCTCCCCTCCCACCTTTCCTTTATTGCAAACTACTCTTTCAAGGCTATAACTTAAATGCTTCTAAGGGGGATAGCAGAGCCAAATGTATACACACACATTTTTTTTTATTTTCAGAAATATCTGTTCCTTCAAAATCAACCTTAAAATATTAAAATATACACATTTTTCCAAATTCCTTTTTTCTGGTTCATTCAGACCTCTGTCCTATTTCTATCATTTATGGACCTAACGTCTCATGAGATCGTGGAAAAAAATCATGCATATCCTTATTGAAAGTGGCCTCTTTTGAACAGTATAAATAAGAGGTACCTAAAAGACCTGTCACAAATCCCAAAGAAGACTTCAAAAGCCAACAAAGGAAATAAAAAATGGATCTCCAAATGCACTGCCGCTGCGGCTAGATACTCACAACTGTCTTTAGAGGAAGCAGGCTACCTGTCATCCACACCGATAATACAGATGATAGTTCTCTGCAAAAATAGTGTGTACAGCAGTTTTCTACTCTTTGGACTCTGCTAAGGGACTGGATGTGTTATGAAAGCTGTTCTCTGCAGAAACACACCCACTTCCATGACTCACAGGAGTTTCTGTCTCCCTTTTTTTTCTTTCTTTTTTTAAAGTGGTTGTCAACTCTGAAAGCTATTAAGAAAATTCAGCTGTGTCATTTTTCCTTTAAAAAGCACCAGGACCGAGGGGTACTTTCATGTGAGAATCACTACTGAGGAAGTAGTCCTATATGATTTATGTTTCCATCAATCTTTCTGGAAGTTTGAGAGAAATCACAATGAACTTTTGGATAGCATTTTGGGCAGTCTTCCATAATCACTGGACTGGCTGGGGAGTTCCCATATTAGTAACTTTCCCCCCTTAAAGATTGCTTTTTTGCTTTTCTGTTAACCATAGAGTTTTCCCATACTTGCTAATACCTCTCTTTTGTGCATCATAATATTTTGGCTACACAGTCAACAGTACTGACGTCCAAATATTAAAAATTAAAGACCGTTATCTCCACACAGAGAAGATTATCAACTGGATTAACATTGTGTCTGTTTGCTGAAAACAGTAACTTTCCACTTACTAAAAGTTCTGTAAAACTCATTTCTGTTCTGAACAAAAAGAAAATAATGAGAAAATTAAGTTCTTTAGAAACAAAACTATTAAAAGAAAAGATGTCTGAAACAATGGAAGACAATGATCAGATTCCTGTGCTTTCTCAGCAGAAAAATTAAGCTTTGGATATTTTCTTCACTGTAAGTAATATCAACTTGTCACGTGGAGTAAGACAATTTCTATCCACATAAAATTTCAGAATTTTAAACCTCATTATAGTAGAGCAGTACAGAATGAGAGAGAGAGAGAGATCTGTTCAGCAATTTAAGGAGAAAAACATCCAGGACTACAACCTTCCCATTTGTAATATGCAAATATGTCATCATCTGAAGTGAAAACTTTGCACTACAGCTTTAAGTGTTTAAGCCTCTGCTGCCCGTTGCTTAGTAACCGGGCATCCTTACCTAAACATTGCTTTTCAGCAGAGTCACGACTGACTAGTGGGGCTGATAATGCAATTCAGAGAAAACATGTATTTTAGAATGGCTTGAGTTCTGTTCACATAGTATGGTGCTTAATGTAGTTGCTACACAAGCCTTTTAAAAAGGTTTTCCCTGATTTATTTATTCCTTGCACCTTTGAGTCAGGGTTGACTCCCAACAACTGCCTGGACTAGTCCCTGCAGTTTTCTCGACAACATTTGCAGAAGTCATTTGCCCCTGCCATCTTCCTAGGGTTAAAGGAGAGGCCCAAAGTCACCCCGCTGGCTTTCATGCCTAAAGCAGGACTAAAACTGTCTTCTACGTTTCTAGCCTGGTGCCTTAACCACCAAACCGCCTCTCTTCCCTGCAATTATAAACCGCAAAAGAATAATATGAAAAATAAAAACCAGTATGTTTTTCGCTCCAGTTTTTAAAAATATGAAGGTATAACAGCAGATCATCATGATTTACACACTCTTTTGCTCTGGTTCAGGCAGTTGTATCAGGAAATTCTTCTATGAATCCAACTGATACATTACACACATCCATTACATTACAGACGACACATATTAAAGGGTGCTTCAAAACCCTCTTGTTCATTCAGAGACAAGGACAAGCGTTTTCTCATGATGTGTTCTAAAAGCCAGGATTTGATCCCCAAACAACAGCAATTACAAGAAAATTATCCAAAGTTCTTCAAAAGCAAGGAATTTCATTTAGCTTCCTGCAGGGATGAAGACAAGAATCACATATGCCACTGGAATGGGTAGATCTCACATTACTCCTCTAGTGGCACGTGAAGCATCAAACACATGCAGATCAATAGGGCATTATCTGTATTAGAGTCACAATGTGCATGAGGATAATAGTAATAGAGGAACATGAATCCACCTTTCAAGATGTTTTGGGGATTACATGAAATTTAAACACTGAACTAATCATTTCTTTGAGGGCACAAAACAATATTTCTAAACTGCAGGGTCATTAAAAAAGAACCTTGTATCAGTTGCCTGCACCAGAACTTCCAAAAGTATGTCAGATATTTAAAGCTCTGTTTGACATCCCTGAAATTTATAAGCATTGTCAAAACAACAATGTCACTCTATTAACTGTAACCTTCATTATAATCTTGCATGCTGTTTGGTGTGTGCAGCATATGCATGTTCTCCTTTATAAAATTAATCAGCTTGATATTCAAGGAAAAAAATCATACAAGAAAAATCACACAAAAGCTTGGGTATAATTTACATAACTAATCAAAGAAATATATTAATAGGAACTTTCTTTTTTGCATATAAGTGAAGCAATCATTACAAGCATGGGAAACTTGAGTTCTTGGGCCAGATACCATCCCAAACCCCTTTTCTCTGTTATCAAAGCTCCTCTAGCCACAACTGCTAATAATTTGCAGCACATCTTTCCTGAGTTAGAAAAGGCATGGCAACCCTTGCAAAAGAGCTAAAACAGGGACATACTAAAAAAAGAAAAGCCAAATTCCCCCATCCTGTGAAATACCACCCCAATAGTATGACGCCACCCCATGGCGTATCATTTCCCCAGGCACTAGTCTCTGGCCTCCAACTATTACACTGGGAGTACAGCCAGTAAAAGGTTGCCCGCCACTGTCTTACAGTAAGGGTAGGTAGCCGAAAGCCACTGTCAAGGACCCTTTTCTTGGTAGGCCGTGCCTTCTTCCTCAGGGCCTGTACGCTCTTCCTTAACACAATCCACCCAGGCAGGGAGGGGTTCTCAGGCCCAGAAAATATTTAGAGTGCCTCTGTCTTGTAGTGATTCTGCTTTAGTTTATTAATCATCATCCATTCCATCAAATTTAGGCAAAGGCTTGGCATGTAGTTTTAACAGTTCTATTACAGCATCTAATCTTACAGATTCTCCATTAGTAATTCAAAAGGTCAGTAATATGAGATACCACAGCCACAGCAGCAGAACACAAACGGATCCTAAAATACGAGCTACCTACGGACTCCTATTAAATTTTGTTAATCCAAGGAAGGAAACTGCAATCAGAATGTTCCTCCCATCCTCAACAACGGAAGAAAAGCAACCCAGAACCTGCTTCCTCAAGAACAAGGATCAGTACCAGATTGTAGTTTCAATTCCCAGCATCCCCAAGGAAAATAAAGGGACGCTGACTTCCCTTGGTGGAAACCAAGCCGGCATTTAATGCATTAATTCAGACAGAACCTGCCACCTGGTGGTCAGCAGGGAGAAAATCTCCAACCTGCCACCTGGTGGTCAGCAGGGAGAAAATCTCCAATGTAGGAACCACAGAACACACAAGATTTAATTGACGTGTGAACCAATGAACCTCTTGTTCCATGCAAAGAACAAATGGCACGGTCAACATCTCACCCTGAATGCCATTCCAACTTATGGCCCCTCTTGCATTAATAATATGAATTACTTATTTTTAGAAACTGTTCCTTCCCATGATAATACTTCCATAATTTCATCTCCCCAGTTTTTTCCAAATCAATCAAATTGGATTCCTCCCTTATCCTAGTTGAACAGCAATGTATTTTAAATTAAAAACTCACATTGATGTTCTAGCAATATACTTTGGGTGAAGGGAAATATATTGAGGCAACGTAACCAAAAACTCTAACTGATTAACCTCTGTGTTAAGATATTAAACTCTGCTTTTTAAAATAAAATAAGCAATTATTTTGATTATGAATAATTCAGAATGTGGATAATGATCAACGGAATGTCAGCTAATTAAGATGGCTCCAAACACATTCAAATATATTTTTTAAATGACACAACGAAACCTGGAGATGACTGTTTCTTCAGCAATTAGAACACATTTTCAAGTTAAGAACACAGCAGCATCAAACCATATTATATTACTCCGTGTTTCATACTAGCCTGAGAAAACTGTGGTTTTGAAGAAAAAGAAATGGAAGAACTTTAACTTACCATTAAAACTATTTTCTTCTCTAAAATGCCCAAATAATTTCTTGTATCTCTGTTTCAGCCTCACATGGTAGGTACAGGAATTCCTAGTAAAATAAATTCACAAAAGCACATGTTGCAGAGATTACATTAATATTTTACTAATTTATGTACAAAACTATTTCAGTCCACGGAGACTGAAACTGTTAAACGAAATATCGTCATACACTAGAATTGTTTTCTATTGCTGATAAACGTGACAAGGATTTAACAAACCATTTTATTAGATGAAAGGAATTAATAAACCATCTTATTTAATGATGGATCAAAGAGAGGGAGAAGTTGGTATCTGATTTTAGCCTTCCTTTCCCAGAAGTTCATTTCAGATTTCAGCCCAGGACCCTCTGAAATGATCCATAAATTTGCCATATTTCTCCTTGAAGGTTTGTAGCTTCCTGGTTCTATGCTGTTCCCTGGATCTTCAGGGCCAAGACGCATTTGTACATCTATGTTTCATGCCTCAGATGCACCAGTCGGTTTGATCTGGCAGCAGTTCTCAATACTTTGATTTCATATGGCTTACATTAGTGCAGCATTTTCTACAGAGCGCATTCAGCAGCTTCAACTGAGGCAAAACACAATTGTTAAGTAGCTAATAGTTACTTGATCATATCACTTCCATATTTAAAAATCCCTACTGATTTCCAAATTCTTTCCAAGCTCAATGTGAGTATGGATCAAGCCTGCTCACATGGGCACCACTTACACGGCATGCAGAAAAGCGCCTACTACTCACAGCCCAAATTATGGGATGCACTTCCTGCAGATCCAAGATTGGCCAGATTATTTATTGATTTATTCCTCCAACTTCTAGGCTGTTTCATTTTTGGGAACTCTGAATTATTAGTGGAATTCGTATCATATTCCGTGCTACCAGGACAGAATTAGCTTCCACAGCTGGCTAGTGGAAATTAACATTTCCATATCAACTCCAGGATAATTTGGAGTTTTTTGTACTGGCATATCATAAAAATATGTTGAAGCTATC